AAASGKKKTGTTAGAAAATWACTTTACTTTGTATCATTTATATAATTTAAATTGTCAAAAAAATATTTGCATAAGCTTATTTTGGGACTCCATAATCAGACTMTATTGATAGTTTTCAACCATTCCAATGTAATTYAAAAGATWAAAGACCGGCGGCAATGTTGGAAGAATGAAGCCAGAAAGCTCATCCAGAATGACCACAAATATGACGTATATTGAAAAACTAGAATGAAGTTATGAAAGTCCGCAAGACATCATTTTAAAATATATTCTCCATTGCTGTCGCGCCAATCCTGACAGATTTCGACTGGTTATTTTCTCATTAATGGCCATTAATCGAAGCACGGTCAAAATGCGAGTTTCTGCACGTTGTGGTCTCAAATCTCTTACTACTATGATAACATACTTATAAATCTTATGGATTAAGCTCATTAGGAATGCCATGAATAGCAGACAAAGACAATTTGAATAGCTTTTGTTTCAGAAAGCCGTCCGGGAATTGAAGAACAACAAACGGTGCTTCATGTATTCAAAATTATGGAAACTGAAAACCTTAGTGGAGATGCAATAAATCAATATATTTCCTTGCAATTAGTTCCAGTCCTCGGCTAACGCCTCGGACTGGAACTAATTGTGCGGACTTGAAATCCCGTCCAGTCCACATTGTCGGACTTTAAACATTACAAAAAGCCAGCTCACATTAAGCAGATGTCCAGATTCGGTAAAACGTGTCAAATGTATATTAATTAATTCATTGCAGGAACATCTATCATCCGTCCTTAAATAGAGACTATTCGATCCTTAAATACGCCGACCTCATTAAAAATCTTGGACACAAYAGTACTTTTAAGTATAAACTTGACGGAGGTCAGCGAGGGCATTGGGGAGGAGTGTGGAGAGCTCCACATCAATACAGGTAGGCATTTTATTTATTCAGAATTACAGTCAACTTTTGTTTAGAAGATTTGCATGTTGTATTATCTTACCACTTTTATGTCGACAMACRAACMAAATTWTACAATCGTACGRTTAAGGGGATTTAAAATGCTGRTTAAACTYTTCACTAGCAATTGAAGYTTAACCTTGCCTTCTTCAGTTKGTGAAATTGATAAGACGTGAAAAGTGTACGTGAGATGAAAAGTGTTAGAACAATTTCACAATTTATTCGTGCTGAGTCCCACTAAAGATGTGTATCTTTGAGATAGAACAATATTTTTCTTTATCATACAATTACCTAATCATCAATGATTGAGAAACGTTTTTTTTATAATAAAGATTAAAAGCACATTGATACGTACATCTACTACATATATCGTTCTTTCTTGTACCTGGCGATCGAGTCAAGATGACTCCTAAACGTTGTACTTTTTCCGTTAATCTTCATCAATTATCCATGAAATACCTATAATTGTCACTTTCGAAAACTTTTTCGTTACGATAACTCGTGAGAGATCTGTTCACCATTTGAAGATAAAATCCGTATCACCGCGTGCCCATGTAAAGTCCTCTTTGTATAATAGTACAACTATTGTTGATAATTATGTATTATTTTTACATCAGTTTCATGTCAACCTCGAATAGCCAGACCAACGTCAAGCTRCTACAAAAATTCGATMATTGGCAAGACGTATGGTGGAGAGGAGTAAAAAACAGAATGCCGTGGTTTGTTGCAAAGGGAGGCGACAAAGCTGCTCTATTAACAACAAGCTCCAGTGCATCGTATTATCCATCTGGCTCTATAATTTGGGGTGGCAAAAATTACAACCCAGCCTACTGGATTTATTATTCCGGTATGCAGAACCCTGGGGTCATTTGGTACTGGGTGAATGAAGATGACTGCGATTCTGACAGAAAACCAGGTGAGAATAAATAGCATTAGGTTAACGACAGGATAGCAGTGGAACAAAGGATATTCTAGTCTTTTAAGACTAAAAGTATTTGTTATGAATGCTAATAACACGACATAGAGAAATAGATAAAGAGAGGTGACCAGATATTACAGGTTGAAAATGTCAATTACTATCAATGGGTTACTTTTAGTTCATGGCGGACTAACTGAGTGGAGTGAATGGTCGATATGCAAATTGTGTACTAATGGTAAACAACGACGTTACAAGACCTGCACGAATCCTGCCCCAAGATGTGGCGGCAAGTTATGTGATGGTTTGACAGAGGAATATAAATTTCCCAGGTCCTGTTTAGAAATCCAGTTGCTAGGACTGCAATCAAGTCCATACAAAGGTAAAAATAATACTCCTCAGTCTCAATAAATAGTCTTCTGGTCGGTTGCAATTTCGAACGTTTTCTTTTTTTCTCGATCTTTCTTCGATCCACTGTTCTTCATATTGTATCAAAACTGCTCAAATTTCTGTTAGAAAGGAGATAAAACAGAAAAAAATTGAATTTCAGATGGCATTTACACCATTCAACCTCCCGGAAAACAGCCAGTCAAGACTTACTGTGATATGACAAGCCGTGGTGGTGGTTGGACACTTTTGGCAACCAGTAAAACGCACTCTGGATGGACATCTGGGAATGTGAAATCCAGAAATATTAATAAACCTTCTCTTGATGACGATTTCTCAATTCTTGGTGTCRGTGATGCCATTAAAGACTTTGACATGTCGCAMGTAAGTCTCATYTTCCATAYCAAAGCTTTATTGGGATGTATTTGCAGTTGTTCTACATTGCAACAAATCCGTAATACCRACATTAAATCATAGTTGTAATACCTTTAAGTCCGGAGTACGACTTGTTTGTATAACATCTTCAATTTGATTCCATTATGTTTCTATCAAAAACAAATAAGWYTCTACGGAGCTAACACGTTATTGGCGTCATGTAGAGTTTGGTAGTATTTTACTGAATGATCAACTTTATAATGTTGCCTTGCATGCTCTCTTGTCCTTGCTCTGAGGGTTTGTTTGGTTTTGATTACAGAAGTCTTTGTTACTTACCTGTCTCTACTTGTAATACAATTTACACGAGTGCTTGTATGAAAGGGTTCTCTACCCATTTCTCCATAAATCAATCAATTTCATCGTTTTTTACTTTGATTGTTCTTTTTTTAAGGATTTCTTCCAGTATCGAATTGAGGCTGATGGCAAAAACCAATATGGTGGCATATTTGATGCGCCAAGAGATTACACTTTTACATCCACCAGTGACAGACAGACTGACGTTAAACTAGTAGAAAACTTCAACAGCATAAKCACACGTTCAAATCTGGCAAAACGCATGCCGAGACTTGGGATGTCTTCTTCTATATTCTTAAGCACTGGGTCTGCAACTGAAGATGCATCTGGTTCCATTGTTTTTAACGAAGGTTCTGATRATTCTCCTTCATACTTGCCATCAGTAAAACCCAAWCCTGGAGTCGTCCGATACTGGATGAGAGAAGGAACAAGGTAGAAAGACGTCTTACATATGTTCCTGGAAATATACTTTACATTTTTAAAAGATTCTTTATTGAACTTGTTAAAATCTTTAGTCAAATTGCTTGTGAAATGCTCTAAATGATACTCTTGGTTTTTCAGACGTTCGTGTTTTGATATCAAAATCCATGGTGTTAGAAAATCCGTATCTTACAAGGACGACYACTACATGATTCGACTGCTCAATGACTCCAGTTACCTACCAGTCTTCTGTGATATGACGTCAGGRGATGGAGCCTTCACTCTGATCTTAACTAGCCGYCATAACAGCTGGAAACRTGATCAGGTCCCTGCCAGGTAAAACAGTTAAGTGTGTGTAAAAGATCGATGAGTTTTCGGAAATTTAAGGAAATTGTGCATATTTTTTCGTATGCGTGTGAGTATTCTTTTTGTATCCTTGAGTTTGTATATGCTTGAGCATTGCGTTTTTCATTGTTTGATCTATCTTCCTCTCAAAATATGTAACTCTCTGTATGAGCCAAAAGATATTGCAGTTTGCCTGGGCAACAGGTTAAACGAAAGGTAAAAAAAACTACATCTCAAGGCATACATAAAGACAAAATATARATCCGACCTATGATAACAGAACGATCAATCTGTCAAAGCTATGACAGATAAAATATCATAAAAGGAATGAAACTCATCGCCGCAAAATCAACTGCCAAGTCGCTATGGATTCGTTTTAATGTATAGCTTATGAAGGGCATGCTTACAAAAATGGAATAATCTGGACATCTTTGTCATCTTTGAAGTGAATTTCAAAATCCTACTGATCGATGCAGAATGATTTTGCTGTTTAATAGTTTCCTCCATATAGAAAGTTCATTTTTGAATATCCACTTGTAATGGCACGTTTACTAAGAAGTCTCTAGTAAAGCTTTGGAGGAAAATCGTTCCCAAGCAATCAAAATTGTCCTTCATCACGATTGCATGCGTGCCATGTCAATTAGCTAGCGTTCCTACCCGTTACAAGGAAGGTTGGTTTTCGGAAGGAAAATGCTGCCGAATTCATAGCTCGGTGCATTCTTGAAAAGCCGAGCAATAATCATACTGTTCTAATTTTGTGTCAAAAGCTTCAAAAGAAATAGTTAATTTGCACTATGCTTTCACATTCTATGAATTCCTTGCCTACTTTTGTAATTTAATTACTGTGTCCATRGTAGTATTATAATGGAGTATTGCAAAAGCTTCAAGTGAAAGAATTACAAGTATACTACAAATAAAATCCAAGTGCATTTTGAATTTGTCTGCCTTTAGGAACGTAAATCGACCGTCCTTAAATGATGACTACTCAATCCTTAAATATGCCGATCTCATTAAAAATTTGGGCCATAGCAACACTTTTAAGTACAAACTTGACGCCAATAAACGAGGACATTGGGGAGGAATATGGAGTGCTCCACACCAATACAGGTAAGAAATGATTTGTGCTCATGCAAAGTTTCARCAGAATAATAAAATTGACTRTTAGTGTTTTCTTTGTGTATTAGCGCTTTTGATCTTTTTAATGTTAAAGAGCGCTATATTAAGCAAATMAATTATTATAATTAATTATTAATCATTATCAGTTTCATGGCGACATCAAGTAGCCAAACTAAAGTAAAACTCCTGAAGAAGTTTGACAAGTGGGACTTTTCATGGTGGAAAAGCGTACAGAACAGAATGCCGTGGTTTGATGCCAAAGGAACAGCCAAAAAAGCTCTGTTGACAACAAGTAGTAGCACAACGTATTATCCAGCTGGTTCTATAATCTGGGGAGACGAACAATACAATCCAGCCTATTGGATTCGATATTCCGGTATGCAGAACCCTGGTGTCATTTGGTACTGGGTCAATGAAGATGACTGCGATGATGACAGAAAACCAGGTGAGTTTTGATAAAATGCCTGGGTGACTTTTTAATAGCATTACGTACTGTGATAGCAAGGTTTTGATAGCAAGAATGGTAGTTTATATTTTTATTAATTAAACAATATAAAGTACAGGGTAATGGTATTATGAGAATAGAAAATATGACTTGAGGAGCGCTGATCATTTTAAGAATAGTAACAATGCCAATTACTATTGTTGAAAAATTTCAGTTCATGGCGGGCTAACTGAGTGGAGTGAATGGTCTATATGCAAATTGTGCACTAATGGTAAACAACGACGCTACAAGACCTGCACGAATCCTGCCCCAAGATGTGGCGGCAAGTTATGTGATGGTTTGAAAGAGGAATATAAATTTCCTAAGTCCTGTTTAGAAATCCAGTTGCTAGGACTGAAATCAAGTCCCTACAAAGGTAAACATACATGTGTTTTGGGAAATTAAGAAAATTTGGAATAGAGAAAGATCTGAGAGTTGGTTTGGCCATAAATAGCCCTATCAGACAATGATGACGTTGATGAAGAAACTCCTCAGTGTCAACGAATAGTATTTTGTTCGTTTTGATTCTTGATTGTGTAGGTAGATTGCCAGATATTATTTAAGCCATTTTGGTATCCCATCCCCTGTACAATACACGAAAATAACATATAATTGTGTCTACATTTTGCGATACGTTGCATCATTTTACGTCTGAAAATCCACCACAAATCCAATTCGTCTGACATCTCTTTCTGTGGATAAAGATACTTACTCGAGAGACAGTATGAGATACATGACATCTAACTGCTACTGGTGAATTTCAATACAAAGCATAGTTTTCGGTAAATTAATGGTCTTATGTAAAGTAATCTCATTGRAACCGTCACTTTTTCTCATTTTTATATAATGAATATTAATATACTTTTGCTACGTATCTTTCTTCGATCTAGTGTTCCTTATTTGGTATCTAATTTTAAAATTTGCGTTGGAAAAGCTATATTAACCATGACAAAAACAACAACAACAACAAAAACCAAAAATCATAACAACAAATTCAATTTCAGATGGTATTTACACAATTCAACCGCCCGGAAAACAGCCAGTCAAAACGTACTGTGACATGACAAGCCGTGGTGGTGGGTGGACACTTTTGGCAACAAGTAAAACGCACTCTGGATGGACATCTGAGAACGTGAAATCCAGAAATATTAACAAACCTTCTCTTGATGATGATTTCTCAATTCTTGGTGTTGGTGATGACATTAAAGACTTTGACATGTCACAAGTAAGTCCCATCTTCCATATCAATATGCATTTATAGTTGTCATATTGCAAGCAGTCAGTAATACTGACATCAAACGAGCGATGATACTTTTAATTTGGGGTAGACCAAATTCATCCATCAGGCATAGATAATTAATGAAATTTGACCACGGCAATCACTATACCATTTTCCCAAATAAAACCATTTTTTTTCCAAGGATTTCTTCCAGTATCGAGTCGAAGCCGATGGCAAAAACCGATATGGCGGTATCTTTGATGCTCCAAGAGAATACACTTTCACATCCACTAATGACAAGCAGACTGATGTTAAACTAGTAGAAACCTTCAATAGCATAGATGCAAGTTCAAATCTGGCAAAACGTATGCCGAGAYTGGGGATGTCTTCTTCTATATTCTTAAGTACTGGGTCTACAACTGGAGATGCATCTGGTTCCATTGTTTTTAACGAAGGTTCTGRTGATTCTCCTTCATACTTGCCATCAGTAAAACCCAAACCTGGAGTCGTCCGATACTGGATGAGAGAAGGAACAAGGTAGAGGTTTAATTTACACGTTTAAAATGTTCTATATTGAGCTTAATGTTATTAATAATGTGAAACCACTATTAATGTTACTCCTCTTGGTTTTTCAGACGTTCGTGTTTTGATATCAAAATCCATGGTGTTAGAAAATCCGTATCTTACAAGGACGACTACTACATGATTCGACTTCTCAACGACTCGAGTTATCTACCAGTCTTTTGTGATATGACGTCCGAGGCAGGAGCTTTCACTCTGATTTTAACTAGCCGTCATAACAGCTGGAAACGTGATCAGGTCCCTGCCAGGTAAAACGTCTAAGTATGTAGAAAAAATTGATGAGTTTTCGGACTTTTAAGGAAATTGTGCAACTTGCAAAAATGATTTTTTGTATGTGTGTGTTTTTCATGTGAGTTGTATTCTTTTTCAAAATATACCATATTTCAAAAGATATTGCAGTTTGCCTGCGCAACAGGGTCAGGGGCGGATCCAGGGGAGGTATTTTGGGTACGGACGCACCCCGTTTTTTGACGACGTATTTTTTAATATATCAGTATAAACGTTTTTTTCTGCCATTTATTCTCCTGTTGTACTTTTATCGAGAAAACGAGAGTAGCATACACAACATTTGTCTACCACTATGCTGCTTAACAATCTATTTCAGTACTAGTGTAGTCAAAGATACGTTGCAATCAAAGTCAATTTGCTTCTGGTCAAATTGTGCATAATTATTTTGCTCTAGGCAATAATGATCAGTTCCATATATTACTGAAAAAAGCACGCCCTTATAATATGCTGGATCCGCCCCTGAGGGTAAACAAAAGACTGAAATAAAACTACATCTCAAAACATACAAAAAGACAAAACATCACTCCTATGATAACAGAACGATCAATCTGTCAAAATTATTATAAAAATAAGTACATAAAATGCCATCATCGCCGCAAACTGTCAAGTCGTTATGGATTCGTTTTAATCTATGGCTTGCGAAGGGCATCCTTACCAAAATGGCATAAACATCTGGACATCGTTGTCATCTTTGAAGTGAATTTCAAAACCTTACTGATCGATGCAGAATGATTTTGTTGTTAAATCTTACTAGTTTCCTCCATAGAAAGTTCATTCATAGAACCTCTCGTGATATCTGCTAKTAGTCTAAGTTGATAATGAATATGTTTGCCTTTAGGAACGTTTATCACCCGTCCTTAAATGAAGACTACTCGATCCTTAAATACGCCGATATCATTAAAAATTTGGGACAAAGCAACACTTTCAAGTACAAACTTGAAGCCAATAAACGAGGACATTGGGGAGGGGTRTGGAGTGCTCCACACCAATACAGGTAAGCAATGGTTTGTGCGAAATTCAAAGCTTCAGGCAAATATAGAATTAATGATTAACATCGTTTTTATCAGTTTCATGGCGACATCAAGTAGCCAAACCAACGTAAAACTCCTGAAGAAGTTCGATAAGTGGGAATTTTCATGGTGGAGAAGCGTACAGAACAGAATGCCGTGGTTTGATGCCAAAGGAACAGCSAAAAAAGCTCTGTTGACAACAAGTAGTAGCACAACTTATTATCCAGCTGGTTCTATAATTTGGGGAGACAAACAATACAATCCAGCCTATTGGATTCGATATTCCAGTATGCAGAACCCAGGGGTCATTTGGTACTGGGTCAATGAAGATGACTGCGATGCTGACAGAAAGCCAGGTGAAATTTGATAAAAATCCCGGGTGATACTTAATAGCATTACGTACTGTGACAGCGCGGATTTTATCTCAAAAATGGTAGTATATATTTTAAGTGGTAGCTTATTCATTTGCTATGTAAAGTACAGGGTAATGGAACCTAATTAGTTGTACTGACAATGCTAATAGCATTAAGAAAATGGAAGGTATGACTTGAGGAGCGCTGATCATTTTAAAAATGGTGACAATGACAATTACTATTCTTGAATAATTTCAGTTCATGGTGGACTAACCGAGTGGAGTGAATGGTCGATATGCAAATTGTGTACTAATGGTAAACAACGACGTTACAAGACCTGCACGAAACCTGCCCCAAGATGTGGCGGCAAGTTATGTGATGGCTTGACAGAGGAATATAAATTTCCCAGGTCCTGTTTAGAAATCCAGTTGCTAGGACTGCAATCAAGTCCCTTCAAAGGTGAAATTGTGTTTTGGGAAATCTAGGGAAAACWCTCGATGCGAGTGCAGATTTTTAAGAGTTTAAAAACTCTTTGTTTAAAGAGAGGTCGGACTACTAGGCGTTGATCTTGATTAGGATAGTGCTCAGTTTCAGCAAATAGTATTTTGATCTTTTGGGATCTCAGTTGTATTCTACGTGTTAGACCCTTCGACTTTCATCTATTTTTCAAGTCTTTTTTTGTAAGGGGAATTGCGTTCGTTGCACGATAAGTTGAGTAGAGGCGGGGAACTTTTCCAGTTGTTACTGCTGTGACATCGAATAAAGAGATTGCCAAGCCTTACAACAAACGTGGTTTTAGACGGGTAATTTAAGGTCCGGCAGGGGTATTTATTAATAGACTTTTTCAGTAATTCTCAGGAAAAAAAGTTCAAGTCCAATTCGCAAGGGTCTTTTTCCCGAAATAACCTTCATTCCAAGCACTATAACTTTCTATTATTTCTRTCTCATGTAGTTCCTAGAGCCACGCAACATGTGCATATCTTTACATTTAAATTACATCTACCTACCCTGTATTTCACTCCTCCCTTCTCCCAGTCTGACCTTGTATCTCGGCTGATCAGAGCATCGATAGTACAAATCCGAAGTTCGTTGGTTATCAGTATCCCAAAGARGTTGGAATTCAATTTTTCCGAATTTTTTCCAAGAGTTTTAATTATATATAATCTCCTATTTATTGCGAGAAGATATATACCATGTCTTTATCGGTATACAGTCTGAGTTTATCTAGATATGCTCTCACTGAATTCGTAATTTAAGTGAGAAGAATAATAACGAAGATCGATTTAATGAGACAATAACATTCAATTTCAGATGGTATCTACACCATTCAACCGGCCGGAAAACAACCAACCAAGACGTACTGTGACCTGACAAGCCGTGGTGGTGGGTGGACTCTTTTGGCAACAAGCAAAACGCACTCTGGATGGACATCTGACAACGTAAAATCGAGAAATATCAATAAACCATCACTTAATGATGATTTCTCCATTCTCGGAGCTGCTGATGCCATCAAAGACTTCGACATGTCGCAAGTAAGTCCCATCGTACAAAATGAAGCTTCATTGATGTATTTGTCAGCAAAGCGTCTGCAATATGATTATTCTATAATAATACTATTCAGTGTGATCACTTTATGTTATTCTTCTTTAAGATCAATTAGATTTCTTTATCAAGAGCCAAGACGTCATTGCTGTCAAATAATTTCTTCTTTCCTAGGATTTCTTCCAGTATCGCATCGAAGCTGATGGCGAAAACCAATATGGCGGTATCTTTGATGCACCAAGAGATTACACTTTCACATCCGCCAATGACAAACAGACTGATGTCAAACTAGTGGAAAACTTCAATAGCATAGGTGCAAGTTCAAATCTGGCAAAACGTATGCCGAGACTTGGGATGTCTTCGTCTATATTCTTAAGTGCTGGTTCTACAACTGAAGATGCATCTGGTTCCATTATTTTTAACGAAGGTTCTGACGATTCTCCTTCATACTTATCAACGATAAAACCAAATCCTGGTATTGTCAGATACTGGATGAGAGAAGGAACAAGGTAGAGGTTTTACATATGTTCATGGAAATATCTTTACACATAAAAGATTCTTCACTGAACTTAAGAAACAAATTGCTTGTGAAACGCCCTAAATGTTACTGCTCTTGGTCTTTCAGACGTTCGTGTTTTGATATCAAAATTMATGGTGTTAGAAAATCCGTATCTTACAAGGACGACTATTACATGATTCGACTGCTCAACGACTCGAGTTATCTACCAGTCTTCTGTGATATGACGTCAGGGGATGGAGCCTTCACTCTGATCTTAACTAGCCGTCATAACAGCTGGAAACGTGATCAGGTCCCTGCCAGGTAAAGCCTTTAAGTGTGATAAGATTTTAGCAATTAAACCTTTTTTTTTCTTTGTGTCCTTAAGCAATGTTTTCTTAATTTTGGGAGTGATGTTCCTTACTCATACTCATTAATTATACATGAGGTATCAAGCAAATCCCTGATTGTAATTTGTACCACGTGCAGTAATTGGTGTCTGCACATTGATTCAAACTGATTTAAAACCTAGAAAAGGTTTATGATGCGACATTAAAACTGAGACCTTTGCTGGTGTTGGGTTGCGATAAAGCGCTGATGACCTTGAACATCAGTTCTTTATATCTGATATAGAACTGACTAATAAAACATCAGTTCTATATATCTGATATAGAACTGATTAATAAAACATCAGTGCTTTATCGGGATATAAAGGCCCATCATGTGACCCAATAGTTCTGAGTTCTAGAAATTTCTGTTAGAGCATACGTATTTCCTTCGCTTTTTTCCCTCCAGAAGTCGCTCAAAGTCCTCCTCCAATTCGGACTGGACGGAATTTCAAGTCCTTGTTGCGCGGACTTTAAGTTTTCAGTTGACAAGCCTAGTAACATGTTGTTCTTACAAATTATTATATGTTTTGGCAAGAAATGTTGAATTATATGACGTCGCTAAACATTTTCTTATGTATTCAATACAAAAGCAAGGGCGTTTTCTTTATCTTCTCATTGGCTGGAAAGCGACAAAATTATAYAGAGTCAAAAGCTTGCATGTTTTGAATAAAAATGCACAATAATGCATATTTRTTTTCAAGGGTGCTATTTATGTCTCTTTTCCAATATAGATTTACGCTAAATCTAGCGACTTAATATTATTGGTATCAGCAGGAAGATTTTTCCAGTTGCCATTTTGTCTTCATTTTTCTTTTTGTCAACTGAGCCGAAATAGTTGAAGAGTAACCAATCAGAGATCGCGGCTGCACATATCCAGCGATTGTGTAAAATATATGATAATTATCAAGGAGCTCATTTTCACCTCCACTCATTTTTTTAATAGAATAAGCGTATAACACCCTTTTTTCCCACCAGCTTTAAAAAACTTKTTCGAACTTACCCTCTCTAGTATTACATATGCTGTTTTCCTGGCTATTTTTAATTAGTAAATTGAAAGTAAAAATTCCAAGAACCTATTCGAAGAATCACAATTATTCTACTTATAAGATTTAAGTAGATAATGAATTTGTCTGCCTTTAGAAACGTCTATCGCCCTTCCTTAAACGAAGACTATTCKATCCTTAAGTACGCTGACCTCATCAAAGATTTAGGCCACGGTAACACTTTCAAGTACAAAATTGACGCCAATAAACGAGGACATTGGGGAGGAATATGGAGTGCTCCACATCAATACAGGTAAGAAATGATTTGTATTTATGCATAGCTTAAGCAAAATATGGAATTGACGATTAGTATATTCTTTGTGTATCAGTTTCATGGCGACATCAAACACCCAAACCAACGTAAAACTCCTAAAGAAGTTCGATAAGTGGGAATTTTCATGGTGGAGAAGCGTACAGAACAGAATGCCGTGGTTTGATGCCAAAGGAACAGCCAAAAAAGCTCTGTTGACAACAAGTAGTGGAACAACGTATTATCCAGCTGGTTCTATAATTTGGGGGGACAAAGAATACAACCCAGCCTATTGGATTCGATATTCCAGTATGCAGAACCCAGGGGTCATTTGGTACTGGGTCAATGAAGATGACTGCGCTGCTGACAGAAAACCAGGTGATTTGCAATAGGGACAGCGATAATTGTAGCAAAAGCATTGACATGTTCAAATGTTACCGTGTTGCTATTATTTGCAGTTCACGGTGGACTAAGTGAGTGGAGCGAATGGTCCAAATGCGACAAATGCAAACAACGTCGCTATAGGACTTGTACGAATCCTGTACCAAGGTGCGGAGGTAGGCCATGTGACCAAATAGCCAAGAGGTCAGAGGAAAAATCGTGCACTCCTTGCACAGGTAATCTAAACATCATTTGATTCTGATATCGCAGCGTCTGCTACCTTATGTAACGAGAGTTAAC